TGCGGGTTTGATTCATTTTCAACGATGAGTGACTCGGATGAGGACGATCTAGGTTTCGTTCCTGTAAGCTCACAATGACAGTTATTCGCACAGGTGTTTTCACCCAGAATGCTGTTCAAGCACAGGGTAAGCGTTTTTCAGGGAACTGTGATAGAGTCTTCCAAAAACAAGTATGTCATTGTTAAGTTACTCGGAGCTGGAGGCTTTGGCGCTGTCTACAGGTATCCATGACACATTGAAAAACGCTTTGACTTATATTTGTTGAACTTTAGGGTGCACGACCAAAAAGATCCAACAAAAATGTTTGCCATGAAAGTCGAGAAGAAAATTGAAACAAGAAGGCACTCAAAACTGAAAATGGAGGTGTGATGTCTCACTATTGTCCCACTATACATTGAGCAGAAAGGAACTGCAGACAGTTTCGTGTAGCTTTCAGCTAAACTTGTGTCGTAGGTTAGAATCCTGAGGAGATTTTGCGGATTTGTGGGGAAAGGTTGCGCCCTTTCATTGCTACAGCTTTGCACATCTACTGTGACATACTCTTGTTCCAATCAAGTTAATTAAAACTCAAGTGGTAAAGGTTACTCGGATTTCCAACAAAAGGATAGCCAACCGATTGTTGTGGTTTCACCGCATGCATTGTGTACCACTCCTTCCGAGCTAATCCAGATTTCACAATCGGACCTTTTTTCTCGCTCCATGCTTATTGAGAGGAACAGAATGAAGCGTTATACCACATTATTTTTAATAGAAATCAAAATAATGAAAACTGTCAAATTGTGTGCTTGCGACCATCGCAACATAATGAAGCGATCTCCCACATTTCCAGTTTCGAATGCTGGATTGACGTTGACCAACAAAATGAACAAGAATAAGTAAAATGAACTTTTGGTTTGTCTTCTTGCTTTGTTATAAAAAATTTGAAACGAGCGAAACCTACCGACATTGTCTTTGTCCCACTACCAAAATGCTCTTGTACCTCCCAATAAGTGTGATGTCTTTATCTTGAAAGGCATAATATGCCACAAATGAATAGAATATTCGGCACATAGCGGCTGACAAGGTCTTTTCGTAAGCGAAAAACTAATTAGAAAATTATCAAAAGGAACCAAA